CGCCGCACAGCATTGACTATGGAAGATCATCTGTGTCAAAGTTGACTGAAAGTACATGAGACAGAAGGTTGTGGATAGATGGGACTACCAACACCACACAGCATGGACAATAGAAGATGATTTGTGTCAGAGTTGACTGAAAGTACACGAGACAGAAGGTTGAGGATAGTCATGACTACCAACGCCGTACGGCCTGGACTTTCAGAAGAAGAAGAGTAAACGTAAAGTAAAAAACTCTTTTCCTCGCCTTCATGCATATAGTGCTAGACCTGTATTATACAGACCAATCGGTTGTCGGTGGGGGATGTTGTGAACACCTTTGCTTCCCTGGAATGCTCCTGATACTCATTTAATTCAAAGCAAGGTCGATCTAGGAGCCGAGGGTCATTTTTTGGAAGAGAAGAGTCAGGTACCATTTGGATTTGAACCCATGACCTTTGGATCAGCAGGCAAGCATCTAGCCATGACATCTAATTTTGTTGTATAGTGAATGAATGAATTAAGAACTGCCATCAGCAGATTAAAAAAAATTCCCACACATGCAGTCTCCTTCAAGGAATGTAGTCGACCCACCTTTCATTTTGAGCACTGTTCACAACACAAAACCACATCGGGCACACAAGAAAAAAAAAACATGAATTATACAGCTCACAGTGTCACACCAAATACTTTGATCAGTAGCTAAGAGACTGAATCTTTGTGCACTGTGTTCAAAAATGGGGAAATTATAACCCTAACACTGAATGACAGAAGTAACTTGAGTTCTCTGCTCTCACATCTGTTTTTTTAGGGAAGTATTATCACCAAAATGATCTTAGCTTCCAGCTTGACCCAGTCCTAAATGGGTACTGGGTAAAGTCCTGGGAAGTAAAGGCAGCTGGCATGGTACTGATGACATCAACCAAGGAGTGCCGATCTGTATATCACACATGTGGCACTGGAATGTGCTTTAGTGCTGAACATTGAGACGGAGCGCTTTTGGTAATGCCCCGAGTGCTGTGATGTTGGTTCTTGAGTCAAATCAAATCACATCTGTACTTTTTAGGAAAGTACAATCATCAAAATGATCTTAGCTGCCGGCTTGACAAAGCCTTAAAAAAGAACCAGGTAAAGACCTAGGAAGTAAAGGTGGCCGTCGTGGTATTGACCACATCACCCAATGAGTACCAACTGGTGTATAAAATACAGACATAGCCCTATATATGCCTGAAGGTGGGGAAAAAGGTCCTTTACTTTTATCATCATCATTCTTTTATGTGCCGTTAGAAGTCACATTGGGCTCACATTTGATTCCTCTACTCTCTGTTCTTTTTCATGCAACTTTCTCAATTTCTGACATGGCCCAGCATTTTGGCCTCTTGTAATAATGTTCTTTTTAATGTTTCCCTTGGACGTCCTCTTTTTCTCTCTCTCTCAGACTGTTTGTTTCCCATTTCAGTGCCTGTTTAGTAATCTTTTTCTCAGAGTGTGCACAATAAATCTCCACCTTCTTTGTCTTATTGCAGTTGTTACAGGTATGTGTCCAGACATTTCTCTGATCTTCTCACTCAGTCTTAATTACTATTATCACTAACTCTTATTGTCATTGCACATGATGATGCTGACAAAAGAGTTCCTAATAACGATTTAGCTTCAATCGATGGTCAGTGGGATTTAGAAAACATAAATTCTATGAACCACAATAAATACTCACATCACTGGGTACAACAGTGGCACCATCTTCAGCATAAACTACATAAGATGAACCAGACACTGGCAACCTGGCAATGCTTTCAACCACGCGCCCAATGGGGTTGTAAAGTGTCACCTCAAACTGTTAACAAAGGAAGGTGATCATGTCATGTTTTCCTGAAGGCTAAACAAATGGTTATTCACAAATGTATTCAATGTTTACTCGCAGAAATTTAGAATGCAATGACCTAAAAACATTGTAAAGTAATTAATATCAATCATCAATTTGCTGATGAGGTTTCTCTTCTGTCCCACTTATGGAATCAGATGCAAGATAAATTGAACATACTTGATGCCAGATCACAACAGCTAGGTCTGAAAATTCATAAAGAAAAGATACAAATAATGAGAATAAACCAGGCAAACAGTAATCTGGTTTCTCTAACACTCCAAGATGTGGAGTCACACTCCAAGATGTGGAGTCACACTCCAAGATGTGGAGTCACACTCCAAGATGTGGAGTCACACTCCAAGATGTGGAGTCACACTCCAAGATGTGGAGTCACACTCCAAGATGTGGAGTCACACTCCATGATGTGGAGTCACACTCCGAGATGTGGATTCACACTCCAAGATGTGGAGTCACACTCCAAGATGTGGAGTCACACACAGGTTTGGGCAGTAATGTAGATAAAGATGGGGAAACTGATAGAGATATTAAAATATGAATACAAAAGGTAAGAGGAGCTTTCATAGCACTAGGAAAATTTGTGGAGGTCAAAAGAAATTTAATATTAAGCTTGACATTTTTAACTCTAATGTCAAATCTAAAACAATTGCTAATAAACTACAAATATTCATTAACTGGTGCCTACACAGAATAGAGGGAATTAAATGGCATGATAGAATCATTCAGCATGAGCTTTAAGAGAGACTGGCACAACACAATTACATCTTTGGATGAACATAGAAGAAGAAGAAGTAGGGTGAACTGTTTGGTACCAAAATAGTTAAGGAGCAGATAAACTCTGAAATAAAAAATAACATGAACAGCAACAAGATGAATTTACATGTAAGTCGACACTTACACCGCTAAGGGTCTCTGTGATGTTGCAGATGCTGATGTTGAGGTATGTGCAGAACACTTGTGTTGGTGGCGTGGGGCCAGCAATGTACAGGAGTCTGCTATAGGCATCATTCACCACATGCTGAAATTCATATTTTTAAACACTTAAAACTGACTCTTTATTCTCTGATGAGTTTAACAAGACTAGCATGTCAGGTTTTTAAAGAAATAACCAATTTCACTATAAAAAAGTGTCTCCACTGAAGAACAGATGCAATGTCCCATTATCATCATCATCATAAGGTGACTTTCCAACTGGCATGGGCGATCATGCCTCTCCACAATCTGCAATCTCCTGCAGCATTTATCAGTTCGTATGCTGACACACCTCCATGCCATGCAACAAGACTGTCAAGAATCTTCTCTCGTTGTCTTTCTCTATCCCTCCTTCCACAGATCTTTCCAGTGATCACAATATGTTCCAAGTTGTCTTCAGGCTCCCGCCTCTTTCAAAACCTCTTGGTTGCTCTTTTTGGCTGTCCAGGGGATTTTATGCATTCTTTTGTAAAACCACATTTCTGAAGCCTCAAGAAATTGTTTGGCCTGCTTACCAATTGTGTCCCATTATGGAATCGATACAATAACTCATTTATGAACAGATCAAAACTGTCAATTATAGACAGATCAAAACTGTCAATTTTATACAGTTAAAAAGTTTACATTATGAAACAGAGGCAATGTCAAATTATGGAACAGATCATCGGTATCCTTCATGCAAAAGATTAAATGTAATACACAGGGAAACCAGTTAAACATTTTTGCTTTGTGGAACAAAAAACGTGTTCATTATAGTAAAGAAAGTAAAGATCCCTTTTCATGCCTTAGACGCATATTTTTACAGACCATTTGGCCCTAGGGGGTAATGTGGTCAGCATTACGCCGGCCTGTGTTCATTATGGGACAGATACAATGTCTCCATTGTGGAACAGATAAATTGTCTCCATTATGAAACTTTTAATTTGTGTCCATTATGAAGCACATAAAATGTCCCATTTACAAAACATAAATTGCCTCCATTATGGAACACATAAAATATCTCTATTGTGTGAGACGGAAGCAGATGAGTTATAAAACAGATAAAATATTTCAATTACGAAACAGATCAAATTTCACTGTAGAACAGATAATATATAATTCATTTATAAGATGCAGTTATTGGTTGTCCTATTTTGTTCTCTATTTATATGCTACATTTCCCATCTTTATGCCATCCATATACATGCTAGGGATTTTGAGGTCGCCTAACTTCTTCATTTATCCAGTACTGTTAGCATATGTTGTGAAAACACTGTTCTGATTACAACACAGCTATGTTATTTGTGCCTTTCAGTCAATGCATCTGACTTCTTCAAAACGTTTACTGACAGAGTGGAATACTGATGCATGATAAGGCAGACGTGGTTAGTGCCTTGTGGGAGAGCGTGTACAGTTCAGAGGAGCAGATGGATCACCAGTCTGGTGAGACTGATGCAGTTGGGGGTGACGAGAGGTTCTGGCAGATGCTCGAGGCTCAGGGGAAAGGCAAGATGATGTTTAATCAGAATGCTTCTGGCACCATTAGTATCAGAACTCTTCACTGGCTGCTGAAGATGGGGACAGAGTGCTTATGGGAATGCCTCGGGTGCTGTGATGTCAGTTCTTAAATCAACTCAACTATTCAGTTCTCTATTTATATGATACATTTCCCATCATATGCTATCCATGTACATGCTAAAGGTTCTGTGGTTGCCTAACTTCTTCATTTATCCAGTACTGTTAGCTTCAGTTGTGAAAACATTGTTCTGTTTACAGCACAGTTATCTTCTTCTTTGATCCTTCTGTCAGAAAACTTATATCAGCATGATGGTAGCATTTATGAAAGCTATCGTGCAGTCCAAATCCTCTTGTGTACCATACAGTTTTGTCTTCATTGTGGTTGGAACAGGCCAGATTGCATCTCTGTTGTCAGCATACAGCTGACAGTGTTAAAGCACATGCTCAGCATTTTTGGGTAACACGTTGCAGGGACACGTCTCTGTGTTTCCAACTCCAAAAAGTTTGAACATGTGTTGTGCCCTGTCCTTAGTCTGAATATAATACAGTGTACCTCTCTAGAGAGGCGGCTATGATATTTGTGCCTTTCAGTCGATGCTTCTGACTTCTTCAATAACTGACAGGGTTAGTATCAAATTAATGTCACTAGTTTCAAGAATGCATCACATACCTGGCCTGCACTGACTCCTTCTGCCAATCGCTGAGCATAGTCAAAAGCCACAGCCTGTTTTGAAGTACCACTGTGGGAATGACAGAATAATAAAACTGATTTCTCCATATACAAGAACTTTTTTCTGCATTCACCGGCTGTAAACTCCAGCAGTAAGTTCTGGATTTTAGTGTTTTGTTCCAGAACTTGAGTGATGCTTGCCCATCTGTTGCACAGATCTGACTTATTTTTATGCAGATTGTTGGTGTCTTGCCTCTCAGGCAGATGCATTTAGACTTCAAAGGGTCTATTCTTGTTTTCCCCACAATGGTGCCCTGGAACCCACACGCGGATTGAAAAGTAACTCTGTAGTTCAAAATACTTATTTATTATAATTTTGGTCTCAAATTTGTGTGAGTTTAACAGAAATAAAAAAATGTAATATGTAAATGTAATCAGTGTTTCAGACATATTCTTCTGTGTGTTACTTGAAAGCCCTAAAAGAGGCCACATTATGAAGTTTGAAAATCCACAGATCGAGTGCAAAGATAGTGCCCATATTGAATTTAAATTAAATTTACAGACTGCATTCTCATACATTAAAGATCAACCCCAAAATATTTGAGATAAAAATTGCCATGAACCAATAATTTATAAGTATTTTAAAACAGGGGGGAACTTTCAATCACCATGTAGAATAAAAAAATCATTTTTACTAGGTAGTGACGCTGGGATATCCTTTATCAAATGAGCAGAAAGAAGCATTCTTCCACCAACTAGTCTCTGCTACAACACTTGGACAAGATGGAATAACTGACTAGTTCCTTCTTCTGCTCCTTCTTCTTTCACTCACTTGAAATAGATTATCAATATCTGTAGTGTTGTCTCTAGTATGAACTTCCCTGTCTGTTGTAATTCCCTCAGTGACCCGTAAAGTTTGGCTTGCACTGGTGTTTCTCATGGCCAAAAGTTTTGCCTTGATATGATGTATTTGAGACAACTCTAGTTCTCTATCAGGGTAATATGAAACCATGGGAGCAGGTGCTGGAGAGAGCTCGAGAGCAACTGAATGATAGTTGTTGGTCATCGTCTCAAGCTCCCTGCTACTGGCACCACTGGTATTCAAACTCTTGGCTCGCTGCTGAAGATGAGGACAGAGTGCTTATGGAAATGCCTCAAGTGCACTGATGTCAGTTCTTAACTCAACTCACATACACCCTGTATGTAGAAACCTGTTACTGTCTATCCTTATCGTAGAATCTCCCATGAAGGGTACCTTTACTTCTACACAAAGAGAACAAACAGAAGAGCTACTTACGAAACTCCATCATGATGCTGTGCCACCCCTAAAACTTCGGCTGAAAGAAAAAAATCATTGCAGCTTTGAGGAAAATATCCTTACTGGTTAAGTCAAGTCATTAACTGATTGTTTTGTGTTGTCTGTTTCACTCACTGGCTGTTAACCCTGGCGGAAAGTCATGGTTTTACATCCATTTCTGAGCTTTGGCTTTGTTCCAGGAGGGGAATTTTGCTGGCATATTTGTGTGCAGTCTGTTATTTAAATGCTATTCAAGCAGATGCACTCCAACTCCTGAAGGAAATGTTGATCCTATATCTAAGATAACTTTGGCTAATGTGTATCATCAGGTAGTATGTTGCCATTTAGTAGGACTCTCGATTAAAAGACATGTGAACAACCCTTGATTCTTAAATTAACAGACTGATTAATCAAACTAATTTTTAAAATTATGCACGGCCTTTCCTTCAGTATGAGTAGTGAAATTATGAAGATGTGGTTTTTCAACAAAAAAACAAACCAATTCTTGAGAATATTGTGGATAGAAACACAGACAAAAACATGGACAAACACAGAATATGATATGCAAAGAATACCAAAGACAAAGACAGAATATGACTGACAGAGAATTTAGTGTGATAATCTAAGAAAATCGACGTACCTAAACGCTGAAGCTGTGCTCCACTATCAAATGTGTTGTCCAGTTTAGCTAGTGCTGCCACCTGCTTCACAGTCTACAAGCAGAAGAATTAACACAATGGTTCTGGTGTGTTGACAATAAAATAACATAAAGGTTCTTGTGTGTCGACAATAAAATAACATAAAGGTTCTTGTGTGTCGACAATAAAATAACATAAAGGTTATTGTGTGATGGCAATACAATAACATATAGGTGCTTGCATGTTGACAATCAAAAAACATAGGTTTTTGTGTGTCAACAATAAAATAACACAGGGGTTGTTATGTGTTAACAATAAAATAACACAAAGGCTCTGGTGGCAATAATAAAACATAAAGGCTCTTGTGTAAATTATATAATAACTTAAAAGTTCTTATGTTTGACAATAACATATAGATTCTTGTGTTTAGACAATAAAAACATAATTGTTAAATGTCATTATTGTGATCGTATCTACTAAAATGAAGGGCTCTATCTCCTAACACCAGTACCGCAATATATAATACACTGAAAAAGGCCAGCTGTCATACATGGTTTTGAAACTTGAAGCACAACTAAAACAGATTAAGCCTTTTTACAAACTGTTGAGAACAGAATCACAGAGAGAATCTTTTGACCTATCAAATATGCAAACAGTGGAGAAGGGAGAGCGAGAAGCAACAATGAAATCCGTTATCTTTTTAAACCACCACTAATAACTGGCATCATGAGGCTAATAGAGTGTGACGGTTGAAGCACAAAGAGAGATGGGCAGATAACAGAGAAACAAAAACTGTGTACACAAAAGAGTTAAACAGGGGTAGACCTCTAGGACGGCAGAGAGGTAATAATATTAAGGTAGATCTACAAACACATGAAGTCACTAACTGGAAAGAGAAGACCAATTACAGACATGACTGGAGATGGGTAATATATGTAGCAGCGAACCTAAATGGCTCGGAATGCTGAAGAGGAAGAAAAATGTTCATAATCTTGGCCTTGCCAGACAGCACGAGCTTTTATATCAAGGTTATTGGTGTACTGGCAAGCGTGTAGCTGCTACAACACGGTTGTTTCCATGTTAGTGAGTTAGGTTAGTTGCGTATCCTTTACAGGACGTTGCAGAACCAACCCCAGCAGCCCCTGGCTGTTGTGTGGTTTCTCTAGGCAAATTTACGTCCAGTAATTTGTCTATAGATTTCTGGACAGTCGGCCCCCTGATACCACTGTCGAAACAAATGCAAGGCACATGGCCTGCCGCTGAGATCGAACCGGGCACCCCTGCACTACAAAGCGTTCGCATCGACTTAGCCACAGAGCCGACTATGTTAGTGAGTACAAGTGAGAAAATTAAAGCTTTATTTTAGATTTATACAACCCAGTCATTTTCTTCATTCGTGTCTATTTTCTGTATCTCCTTCTTTTCTTCTGTTATCTGAAAAAGAAAAGAAGGAGAAGCAGGCAGGAGGAGGAGGCAGAAGAAAAAGGAGAAGAATGGGAACAAGAATGAATAAAAGAAGTGTTAGGAAGAAGAAGCTGAGAGTGGGGGAGCGGGGGGGGGGGGGGGGGGTGGGGGGGGGGGGGGGGGGGGGGGGGGGGGGGGGGGGGGGGGGGGGGGGGGGGGGGGGGGGGAGGGGGGGGGGTGTAGAACATGAAAAAGAAAATGATTACAGTAAATATTTTGAGAAACAAAATTATCCAACAAATAACTGTAAAAAAAAAAAAATAACTTCAACCAACTTGGAAGAAACTGTTGACCACACGAACGTAACCCTTGAGTGCAGCTCTGCTGGTGAAGTAGCCGGTCCAGAAGGCATGAGGGTGGTCAGCGTAAGGGAAGAAGTCGTCTTCTTTGGTGGCCCAGGTGAGGTTGTCGTTGTTGAGCTGCTTCAGGTAGCAGGAAGGTGTGGAGTACAGGAGGTTGATGTTGCTGCCCACGGCTTGCTGAAACATAAGCAAAGGTTGTAATGCAGGGGAGTCAACACCAGGAAAACAGTAGAGTAGAAGGGGAGGGGGTGGGGGGGTTAAGGAACCTAAGCCTTTTTTAATAGATTAATAATAATACAAATTATGATAATAATGGTGATAATCATAATAACAATTCTGATAATGATGATAACAAGAATAATAATAATAATGGCAAATGAATACTATAATTTATTTCAAATAATATCATTTACATAAATAAAAACTTAAAGAAAACTATATCCAGTTTAGTGGCATCTTAGCCTTCTTACATACTTAAGGTTGGAGGCCTGACCCTCACCCCACCCCAAGTTCCTCAGGGAAAAGGGACAGGGTGCCTTAACCTCCAGTTCTGGTGCCCCTTTTGCAATGTTCATCTGCATGATATATAGAAATTTTACACCATAAATTCCCCCCCCCCCCCCTTCAACAGTAAGAGTCCAGCTCTAAAAAGCTGTGTACAAAACATTTTCAGCTCAAGTCATAAATGATGCTCAGACAAGGCAGCAATAAAACAAGACTACATAAACTCACCCTTGCATTGACATACTCAATGAGTTTATCCATTTCTTTGAAGAACATGTGAGCCTGAACGTAGTTGAAATCAGAGCCCATTGTTGCAATCAGATGATTAGTCCTGTACCAGGCAGCCTATATGATAGATATGTGGAATTATTTCTGTATGAAAAAGGAGTAAATAACTGTTTGATCATAATTGTACTCATACAAATTTGAGTGGGTTCTAGGTCCCATTATAAAAGGGGTGTGGGAATAGAACAACTGCTGACCCCTTCCCCCAAGCAAGATGCCATAAAAGCCCACACTAATTAGTGGTGTCTCAAGTACAATTATTTCTTTACGTCCTTTTCAGGACGTAATGTTTTGTTATTTGAAGCCCCACTCTGGCTTTTGCCAGGGGCCGCAATATAGGCAGGCCATCAATGTGGCCAATTGTCTGAACGCGGTTTCTGGGACCTCTCCACGGCGATCCTCATCCACATGGTGGCACTTTGTGTCATCGGGTGTTTGTCGCTTGTGTGATGTCCTGGTGGGGTAGAAAGTCAGTCAGTCAGTGGTGTCTCCTTTTAAGCCGGAGTGCATCTGCATGAGAGGTGAGAAACCATTTTACAGTTCTGGCTTATTTGTATGCAGACTGCTGGCTCCTGACCTCTCAGGGAGATGCATTTCAACTTTAAAGGAAACACACCTAATAAGTCGCCCTTTTACAACATGCTTGTTAAGAAAGCAGTTGATCTGTTCTTTTTTCTCTCTTCCAAAATGAGGCCCCGAAACTCACATGGTAACTGTATAAAACAGGGCCCAGAGACCCTAATGGTAACAGTATAAAACAGGGCCCCAAGACCCACATAGTAACTGTATAAAACAGGGCACAGAGACCAAAATGGTAACAGTATAAAACAGAGCCCTGACATCCACATGGTAACTGTATAAAACAGGGCCCTGACATTTACATGGGAACTGTATAAAACAGTCTTAAAAGAATGAATAAAGCAAGAATTCAAGAGCTGACATAACTGCTCAAGCTCTGTGGGCTTCCTCAGTAGCCAATGAAGGGTTCCCATAAATGATTATTACATTTACTAAAAATGTACATACAGGGAGGTTTTCCTTGTCAATAATTGGCTTACATTTATAGAAATTATGACATCCCTGCTAGTTAAGGGAGTCAGGTATAAGTCAACATAGCAACTTTTACAGGTTTAAAACAAGATGAAACCCAATTATTTCTCTGCTGTATTCGTACGGGCTCGTATTTGTTGATCACTGCACCTTTGGGAGGGGGGGGGGGGGGGGGGGGGGGGGGGGGGATGTAACAAAATATTTTTATAATACAATTTACAAAACATTTTTGGTCACCTGTGTATTATGGCTTTTTGTTTAATATAATTCCCCCCCCCCCCACAGAAATGGTTAAAATACAGGTTTTTGAGGGGTGGGGGGGGGGGGTGAGATCGGTAAAAGGGATGTTTCTGTATTGCTTAAAACATAACCAGTAGGAGTAACATGGAGATCAACACTCGCAAGCAGTAAGAGGAAAGTCATGGCCAAGAGAAAGCAGACAGGCAAAGACCTGCAAACAAAACTATCAACCCTAGAAGAAGTCGACCATGGTGTCATAAAGGAAACGATAACAGCTGAACAGTATGGCATTTCTGTGATCCCCAAGTCCTAGGATTCGAGTCCTGCTGTGGATGGTCTCTCAGAAAAACTGTTCTTGCAGTTTTGCTCAGTTGTACATGAGTTGCACCGTGGAAGAGACTGAGGCTTCACCACATTAATATTCTCAAAGACAGCAGTGCTACACTGTAGCCGACCCTCACTGTTGAGGACAGCAAAGAATTATATTTAACACAAACTCTTTTCTTCAGTCCATTGCAATTCATGTTAACAAGGGTTTACTGTAAACATATCTATGCAAGACCAGTCAAAGAAGCCAAAGGTGCCTTCTCCATGACAACCAACAGCATAACGATGAAGTGATGGCAGTAACGAAAGCATTCACGTGGCTCAAAACACAAAACTACACCCGAGCATGTGTACTCAGTGATTCATTAAGTATGGTTCGGTGCGATGGCGTGGAGGAAATACTTGCGTCAATGGAAATGGAAAAAGCCGATAGGTTGGCTGGATCCACTATCACTACCGACAGTCATCCTTTGGATATTATTAATGCCCTCCGAGAAATGGAAATCATGGAGGACTTTGGGAGCAGTGAATCCACATCACTCACCAGAATGACAGACTTGGGAGTTACGACTGGCATATCAAAAAACGAGATGCCCACCAGGCACATCAGAGGACTTGTTAATCAACACAGAACTGATACTATTAGCCACCAGATGCTAGGTTTTATACTGAGGGGAGGATCTGAGCACCTATGGACATGTCCGGAGTGGAATGATGATAACTGAACTAACTAAATATCTATGCTTGCATACCTCTTGATTGACGGTCTGAATGAAGCCGTCTACCATCTGCTGAACGTTGTAATCGTGAAGTCGAGGATCATCCTGTTTAAAAAAGAAATGCCTGTGTCGAATTTCATTAGCAGACATTTTATACGTATAAAACAGCCAATATACTTGGCATAAACCAGACCATAAATATAACTAATGCTGTTCACAGCAGGTTGAACATAACCAAGGTTTTTTCCTTATATTGGAATGAGAATGTATAAAATACCACTTGTATGCTTGTAACTTTAAAAAAAATGATCATCAATGAAGATTGGCAAGTAAACAGCATGTCTTAGAAAGTGAAATATTTTAACCATATCAAGCGTCACATCTGATAGGACAAAATAATAGCAGGAAGCATTACTTGATACCTCCCCGTGTGGGTTCCAGAGCCCTACTATAGGGAAAACAAGAATAGACCCACTGCCTACCCCAAAGCATGTTGTAAGAGTCGACTAATTGGGAGCTTCCTTCGAAGTCGGAGTGCATCTGCCTGAGAGGCAAGGAACCAACAGTCTGCATACAAATTAGTCAGAAATGTCAAACGGATGCACACACAACACTCAGGTTCTGGGACAGGACTGCAGTCCAGAAGTGGACGAACAGCCAGAACTTTCCTCCAGAGTTTACAGCTGGTGAACGTGAAGAAGAAAAAGAAGATTATTTGGTAACCAATGCAGGCTGGGTCAACCTTGGATCCTCAGAAAAGGCAGAAATGTTTTCTGACCAGTACAGTTCTATGTGGCCTGGAGGCTAGAGGCTCACCTGCAGGCCCAAAGGCCATGGGGATCTAATGTTTAGAATAAGTTCTTCAGTATGGCTATTAACTTTTTCACGACCAGAAGCTCATAGTTGATGCCTGACTGAAGCAATAATAATGACAACAAAAGCATGGGTATACTGCATCTACAGGGCCCAAATATGCAGAACACTGTGGGTGACCAGTGTTGCTGGGGTGATTTAGTTTGCTTGACTAAATTCAATATGCACCAATAAATAAAACACATTTAATGGCACACCTGAGTAACATCTAGTAATATATGTGAGTAGTTTGGGTCTGAAAGACTAAAAGAGTTCGACCTTGGAAAGTATGGCACCTGCAGGACTTAGCTAATCTGTAACCAGTGGTCTAGAAAATTTAAAAGCCTAACATTTCACATTCCAATGGTAGTATATGTTATGCAACTACTCTTACCGCTTCACCTTCAAATATGCAACTGCTGGTGCATTAATGGGTACCATAAGGGAAGTAAAAGACAACAACGCTGTTACCTATCATGCATGTCATAGAAGACTATTGACGAATAACAGGGGAATGGCTATAGCAGTCTATAGCTTTCACATGTATGTAATAAAGTAAAACAAAATAATATGTGGAAGCTATGTAAACAAAGGGTGGGATGGTCAAAACAGGGGGGATTTCAAGTGCAACGAAATCAAACATGTGACCTGCAATTAAGCAGTAAAGTTACAGTCAAAAGGACTGACCTAATTAAACCTGGTGTTATCCCACATGGCTCAATTCCCCCCCCCCCTTCCAATAGCTAACCACCTGCAGAGTGTAGCACAAAATATTCACTGCTCTCCTGAACCAACTGATGCATCCGTGAAATGAACCCAAGATCTTCAGAGCTAGATGCAAATGGCTTGACCACTTTGCCATGCAGACCCCCATATATATTAATTAAACAGTAAAATCAAGCAGAAGACAGCAATTACACAAGCAAAAATTATTAATCAATAACTAAATTAACTAAACCTATAGTATTAATGCATTAAAGAGATTCAACCTCAGCATATTAGTATCATAAATATAAACTTACACCGCCTAAATATGCATCTACTTATCTGTTAGGTATTGGTTGAACTTGGAAATAACAGGCGAGACGGCGATAAAAAACACAAAATTGCGCAACTCACGCCATTATAAATGAATATACCATTGGATGTGTTATCATCTTATGTTTCAGGACAGGGCATAATCAAGTTAAACATATTCAAAGGCTTTGTCAGAATGATTTACCACTTTGACCATGTGGACAAGCACATGTCCTGCAAGGATGTTATTTGTAATCTGAATGCTGGCCAAAGTTGTATGGAATTATTCATCTTCTTCTTCATGCTCACCAAGTGTAAACTCCGATAGAAAGTTCTAGTTTTTAGACTTGTTCCAGAACATGACGTCTGCATGCACATCCATGCAGACTGTTTTTTGTTTTTAAATTCCTCTCAAGCAGATTCAATCCAACTTTGAAGGAAACCCCTAATTAGTCAACTCCTAAGACATTGTTTGGGAGGGGGGGGGGAGTAGGTCTTTTCTTCTCTTCCCCATAATGAGACCCTGGACCCCACACAGGGATTTACTTTTACTTATACCAGGTTCTATTCAGCTGCAGTTGATCTGGTGGTGGACTGATCAGCATGGCAAATTTTCTGAGACAAGTTTGTCACTTTAAAGATTGGAATGTGTAATACCAGGCTGGCAGACAATTTCCAATCAGTTACGACAGGAAAACAGTATTTGTTTTTATTTCCGATCATCCGCGGATTGGATGTTAATATTTTGGGCTCATAACCGTTAACCAACTATTTGGTTGTCCTGATTATAACTTTTCATGCCCTAGGCGCATCGGGCATATATTTTTATAGACCAATCGGCACTAGGTGGGTAATGTGGTCAGCTCAGGCCAGCCGTCTTTACTTCCCCAGGACAGCCATCGTGGTACCTATTTTAGGCAGGGCCGACATGCGACGCCCCATACCATGATAAAAATCCATGCAGCCAGCGATGGTTTTCGATCACGGTACGTTGGAATTAGGAGTCGGACTCGCAACGCACAAGCTGCTAACTCTATATTAGCATGATATAAGCATGTGTATAATTCACAATGTTTTTAAAATAAACAAACCTCAGTATGTGTGTGTGTGTGTGTGCATAAACCAAAAATACACACAATTACAATAAAACACAACAGCAAAAGCAGATGCAAGGGCAAAGTGCAAACTAAATTAGTATAATTATGTATAGTTTATAGAGCATTCTACCTTTAAAAAATTAGATCCCAAGTAAGGAATATTACCATATCCTGGTCAATATGCCTTTACCATAATGTAAATGTAATTTTCTTGCAATGTGATATTAAATTACCTGACATTTTATAAAGGTAAGTAAATGTAAAAGTTTCATCCTTCTTTTTCTCAAAGTCCCTGCCGCGTGGCGCTGGTAGTCATGTCTATCCACAACCTTCTGTCTCGTGTACTTTCAATCAACTCCGACACAGATGATCTTCCATGTCATGATGTCAAACTGTCCCGTATCTGTTCTCCTCTCTTCCCCTCCAACTTTCCTACCGTCATGATGTACTCTAGGTTTTTTCCTCCCCATCACATGACCAGAGAATGTAGATTGTCTCTTTCTAATTTGGGCAATCAGTTCTCTTCGTGAGTCAGTTTCTTTCAAGACGTCTTCATTACTCTTTTTATTTGTCCAGGGTATTTTCACCATTCATCTATAAAATCACATCTCCACAGCTTCCAAATAAGTTTTCATTAATTTATTAACTGTCTATGATTCACATCTGTAGATTAATATAGGATTTATCTAGCTTTTACGAATTCTCTTTCTCATTTTAACTGACAAAGAAAGATTGCATAAAATATTCTTCATTTTGTAAAATGCTGCCTTTGCTTGAGCTATTTGATATTTAACTTCCTTAATACATATTCCATCTGATGTTATCAGGGTACCCAAGTACTTAAACACATCAACTTGCTTGAGGTTTGTGCCATTTACTTTGATGCATTTTGGAGTGTCAGTTTTCTTTGTAATTAACATTACTTCTATTTTTTTTTTTTTTTTTCTGTTCAAACTAAGACCCTTGTTTTCACTTTCCGTTACAATTATACCCATCACTTCTTGCAGTTGTGTTTCATTATCAGCGATCAACACTATATCGCAGGTTGTTAACAATATGCACACCAACCGCTATTCCTGCTATACCATGTATGTTACATTTCCAGGTACTCCACAATGCGGCGGTATCTACTGCATTGCAACCCTTTGCTCACAGCTGAGTTGGTCAAAACTGTTAGCAATTCTAGTAGTTTCCAAGACTACAGATTTTGCATCTGCCAGCATTACCACAGACTGTGAGCCAAGATTGGTATTTAGCAGTTTTGGTGACTATCATCAGGGTGAAATGGGAGATAAAAAAACATTCATGGGTGTAGAGTTACTAGCCTTTATGACTGAATCGGGTCCACATGAAATATCAAAGCAGTAGCCACCGGGAGGACCATATCCCAGTGGAAGAACTCCGGTAAATAAGTCTGACACATCACCTGTGATATATACAAGGTAACTGTCACATTCAGACCACATGTGTACACATTAAATTGTCCCCTAACAGTTTGTTTCTTTCTGTCACAGAATTAATCCTTTTCGAAATAATATGGTATAAGTAATTGTTATGACTTACTGCGTCTCAATGTCAGATGCATATTTTTGCTGTTTTAAAGCCCCATCGTGGCCGTTGCCAGGGGCCATAATATAATCCAACGTATGGGTTGAACGGGGTTTCTGAGACCTGTACCTGGGTGATCATTATTGAAATGGTCACCGGGTGTTTATCGCTTGGTGAGATGTCTTGGTGGGGTTGAATGGAAATCAGTCATGGTGTGTAGAACATATGATGCTGCTCAAGATTTCTTTAGATGAATTTACATTCAAAGGGTGATATCATCCTGGTGACATTCAGCTGTTTCCCAGCTAATTTTCTGGTAACCATTTGACATTTTAATAAAATCTCTGGGGTCGGTGGAGGAATGGGGTATAAACTTACTGCCCCATATTAAGCATGTCATAAAGGACAACTAGACAAGGTTTGCTGACACTGGATATGTTAGGCTGAAGGGCACAGATACAGCAGCTTATCTGTAAACCACAATATGCTAACCGCCTTTTTTTTGTAAGGGTGAATGCAGAAGAAGAAGAAGATTTTTAGGAAAACTTTGGCCAATGTTTAAAAATTCCTGTGCTGTTGGTGATGTGAATAAATGAACATGGGCCAGCCGGCAAACCTGCTAGCCACTGCACCACCTCATAATCCTAAACTGAGGCTGGAAATGTTTATCACTACATTTCTCAAACTGGGCGGTACTGCAAGCCAGAGGCAGGAGAAGCTGAAATGATCACACAGGGCACTGTAGGCCCAAACAGCGGGGTCCTAACAGAGCAATATGAAAAGGTGATCAAAACTAAAATGGGCAGCTGGCCTCAGGTAAGTCATGACCTAGAACATCTGAAAGCCTAGTATTTCAACCCCCAGTATGAGCATCTGCTAAAGGAATACTTTTAATATGGTCATCACATGCATTGCCAGGCAAAACAAGTTCTCATGTCTCTCTGCAGATCTCGGTCCTTGGTATTCGGAGTCATTTCCATGGATGATATTCCGCCATGCCATCGCTTCAGGCCGTCAAGCATCATTTATCTTGAGTCTTCCTCTGCTTCTTCTATCACTGATCTTTCAAGTCATCACAATGTTCTCCAATGCCTCTTTACCCATCACATAACCAAAAAACACTGACTGCCTCCTTCTGATAGTTTTACAGTTTTCTAATTTCATTAGCCATTCCCAGGTCATCAATGTCAGTTACTCTTGCTGTCCACAGTCTCCTCTATTCTTACTTTGGCATATTTAGAACACTTTTTCTTCTTTGATCATAGGCTGTAAGCTCCAGTGGAAAGTCCTGTTTGTTCATCCATTTGACTTTGTGCCAGGGCCTGAGTTTTGTGTGTACATCCATTTTTCTGGCACATTTGTGTACAACTGGCTGTTCCTTGCTGCTGGAGTAAATGCACTGTGACTTTGAAGGAAGCTCCCAATTAGCTGATTCTTGGGGAGGCAGTGGGTCTATTCTTGTTTTCTCCACAATGAGGTCCTGGAACGCACACAGGGAATTCAAAAAACAGATCATTATCATCAAATCAAAAATGTTAAAGCATGCCTACAAAATAAGGCAAATGTATTAGTTTATGTTTAGGAAAATTACAAAATATATGCAGGAGCATGCATTAAAAACAAACAAACAAATTATTGTTAAGCTCAAGTTTGCATGCATTACAAGAAAATAATTGTAAAGCCAGTTTGCATGCACTGTAAGAAAAAAATGTAAAGCCAAGTACACAGAAAACTGAAACTAATGAAATAAAGTAAAATGTTAGTACTAGAAACAAAATTGTTTAAATACATGCTAAAACAAAACAGGTCTTTTCCAGCCATGCAGCAGATGTGAAGTACAAGCTACCACATCGACAGTAAGTGACCCCAGAAAGGTCAAAGGCACGCTTTGAAAGTACTGACCATAAGAGGTTGTTGATCTGGTGTCCAGTTAAAACATGAAATATCAAAGCAAAAACCATCTGGAGGATTATACCCATTTGGCAGAACTCCTGTGAAAAGGCTGGCCTGCTCACCTGTTGTGACAATGAAGGCATGTGCAACAAAAGTACATTTTCTAAGTCCTTTCCCCCATTTTTTAAATGGGGAAAGGTTGTGTTAAGTTACGAAAATCATGACTATGGGGTCAGAAAAGAGCACTGACTTGATCCATGATTCTGCTGATTGTGTGAGAAGGCAAAACATTGCCTGGGCTTATTGACAGAATATATGATGATGATGATGAATAAGGAAAGTATGCAACATAAATTTATGCATTACTCTAGCTGTGCACTCAGTGCGTCTGACTCTGGAATTTTTATTTATATAAACTTTACTTTTTCTAAGAAAGATTGCAACTATATACACATTTTAAGGGATGAAAATTTAGTTCGTGTTAAAAACATTGCTGCTAACAGGAAACTAATATCAATAATTCATTCTTGTTAGGACTAAAATTTTGCTCAGGCTAAAGTAGTGTTCTTCTTAGGTGAATCCGTATAATGAAGTTTTACTGTATTTATTGATCAGTGGGCAGTTTTGTTAACTTATCCACATAGCCAAGACAATTGGCTTAGGGTTTAATCTTGGTGATTTCAAAAATTAGATGACTAAGAGCATGCATTTTTCCCATTGCAACATACGCCTGTGAGACCTGGACACTTACTAAACAAGCTGACCAGCGCATAAATGCCCTTGAATACAAATGTTATAGACTGGTTTTAAGAATATCATGGGTAAATAATAGAACAAATGCATCCATACTTAAAGAACTGAATACTGAAGAAGGTTGGCTGGCTATTAAAGACTACAAAACACAAAAAACTGAAATATTCTGGTCACCTGAAAGTTTAGAGAGAACAATAATGGACGGGTATATGCCCGGGAAGAGAGAAAGAGGAAGGCTAAAGAGAAGATGTGTGTAGGATGTAACGGATGATCTCCAAATTGGTGTGGATAGACACACAATGAGAAAAACTGATAACAACAAGAATGTCCTTGTACTGGAGCCCCAAAGCAAAGAACTAAGGGATACATGATAAACTCAGTGAGGAAAGCAATAAAGGCAAAAAAGTGAACTGACTGGAAAGACAGGGAAAGTGAGTTGCACAAAAGGACAAACAATAGGAAGACTTGGTGCAAATTAGTTGAAGGCCGAAGTACTATTGTGGAAATAGATGACACAAAATGAAGAGTGTGCCCAATAAGCCTCAAGGGTTAGAAATGTGACCCTTATCAACCGAAGAGTTTGATTGGAGAAACTTAGTCAATCAATCGATCATCCTCATCACTCACTGGAAAATCCATTAGCACTGGGATCCAATTTACAGTACCCCCCCGCAGCAAATGGTGACTGATAACACCAGTTCTGGGTTGGTTTAGTTTTCTTCTTTCGCTATCTGTACAGTGTTCCTGTCTGGCAACATGAAGATTTTGTGGTCTTGTCAAGGTTGCCGATTCATCGTCGTCTTCTGAATTACCTACTCATCCTGTCTCTTTGAGAGTACTGAGAAAATCAACCCAGTGTCTACAGTGGCCCTTCAGCAAACCAATCCTCTCGCTCATTCCCTCTTACCCTAGAGTGTCCTGGCACAATAACTGGTTCCTGTCAGATGATTCCAACCATTTGCATTTTTTTAAGCCAATGCAGAAACTAGCTGTATGTAAGAAAATACGGGGCAAGAAAGACAGACAGAAAAGTAGTATGTGGAAGATTGAAACAACTAGAGAAAATATAAATAACAACAATAATAATAATAAGCACTATCAACTTCATGTCAGAGATAATCTAAGAGTCATGGCTACCAATGCTTGCTCTTGGCTTGGCAATTGAAAAGAAAAAGATTAATGAAAACTCAACCAAAATTGTCTCTATAACTTACCTAAGTTGTTGGGGCTACCTTTCCAGACAAACTCCATAGATTTATCACCTTGTCTTTTCAGCTTATCTTGATAGTCCAGTCGGCCGAAGAAAAGACCATCAAAGCCAAACTGGCAGATAAATAAACATTACCTATTAATGTTCCACTACATTAAGCCTCTTCTTCGTTATCTTCACTTTCCAGTTTGCCACTTTGGGTGTGGAGGGAGATATTTTATATACGATTCTGCATCTTGTGGCGTTAAATCATTGTGAAAAAGATTTCCGAACACTAATATACTGTGGGATGCCGCTGATAGCCTTAACTCAAAAGTATTCCTGTTGCCTGACTAATGATGTGAAAAGTAGCCAACCTGTCTGGTTCTTGCTGAAGACTTTCATATCAATAATCTACACATGGGGAGCCATGGTAACGTAGTGGCTAGATGCCTGATTCCTCACCCAAAGGTCTTGAGTTTAAATCTGCAATGACGCAGATTATTTTCGACACTGGCATTGGCACCCAGGTCAACCCAGCCTAAAAGTGATATGTGTAATGGGTCAACCCAGCCTAAAAGTGATATGTGTAATGTTCTAGGGCACAACAACTATCACAATCTCCCATCAAGGGCTGACTGGTCTATAAGAAAATATATGAGCCTAACAACCTTTGCTGATGCGCCTCTGGTGTAAAAAGGACACTGAACTGATTGCCTGGAAGTGGCTAATAAGAATAGAACATTATATACAGCAAAGAGAAGAAGACTAAGTGCTTCGTTCATGTGATGTGAAAGAAGCACTGGAAAAATATTGTGACAACTGGAAAGATCACTGTTAGAAGAGGCAGACCAAGAGAAAATATTGTGACAACTGGAAAGATCACTGTTAGAAGAGGCAGACCAAGAGAAAAGATTGTGGATGGCTTGAGGAAGTGGCATGGAGGAATATCATCAGTGGAGGTAATCCATAACCGAAGACCGAGATGCATAAACACCTATGCATGATGATCACCTATCGAATCTGAGTGCATCTGACAGGCAAGGAACCAGAAGTCAGCAAATAATGAATCAGGTCTGTAAAACCCACAAAAGAAAAGCATCACTTACAGACAATGAGTTAACTATAACTAACCTGGGCAAACAGAGATGCTTGCTCCCTGGAATGGCCAAAGGGATCGATCTGCCAGCCGATCTTTGGACGCCCACAGTCTCCGAAGTTTAGACGGAGATACTCAAAGCCCAGTTTGTGTTGATCAATAATGGCTGAGTAATGAGTGGCGGCTTCATCATTCATGCACCAGCCACCCAAAATAAACTCCAGTCGACCTGGAAAACATTTAAATATGTAAAAGCGTCTTCTCGTTCTCCAGTTACCTCATGAAACAAAGAGAGAGACACAGAGAGAGATGAGAGAACAAACAAAGTTAATTTTCAAAGGGTAAATAAAATAGGCACAAAGGCCCCTTTCAAACACTCATAAAGACATTGTTATTGTATCTGTAAATAAAAAGAAATTAACAGGGAGCCCTGATGCCATAAAAACACTGTATATAGTAAATATATAGTGATATATAGACATATATAGTGGGGAAAGGAATGTAAGCTTTTCTGTGAGTACTTTTTAACATATTGTATATACTGACACACAAAAAATGATTGAAATATCTTGATTAAATAAAAAATTTGAGTAAAAGATTCTGTGTCCGCTTTTAAAAAAAACTGTTGAGGGGAGCTCTTATCTAAAAATGTCTCTCTAAGTATAGAAAAGATCACAGAAATGGCAAGTTGAAAATTTAAAAAAAAATTTTTAACGCGAAGTGAAGAAAAGCAAAGTGAACTAAAAGGATTGGCTTCCACATCATGTGATTCTTTTGAGCATATAATGTCAACGTCACATTCTTTTAAATAAAATGGCTCTAGCCCGACATGGTCAATTTTACGTTGGCCGATTTGTCTTCCTAAAACACATACTGGTAGCCCAAGTCAAGTGTGAAAATATGCTTCAATGAGGATTTCAAACCAGGGAATGTATATCAGTTAATGATTTACTATGCTAATGTTTAAATTTTGGTTTTTTTAAACCAGATAAATAAACTTGTATAAATTTAAAAGTGACCTGAATAAAATTGATATTTTTTTGTAAAAAAAAAATTTTTGGCAAATTCACACAGGTTCATAGCTCCCTTTTTTAAAGGTTCTCAGAGTGAAAGGGTTAAATATGTTGAGTTTCATGTATGAAACTCAACAAAGACAAAGAACTGCCTGTAATTGTTGAACAGCAGAACCAAGTAATTACCTTGGCTAACCAAGCTCTGGACAATGTGCCGGGTGGCATCATTTTGTTCATTGAACCATCGGGAGAAGAAGGCTATCTCCACATATATGAACCTCTTCGTTGGATCTGCTTGAAGCTCTGCAATAACTCCATCTAGGATGAACTGAACCTCTGGGGACAAGAAAATACAATATTGATAAATCATCATTACAATCTTCATCAGAACTTCCACTTTTGCTATCAAGCATCGTGGGGCAGAACTAATACTTCTTTCTCTTCGGATTCACCAGCTGTTAACTCCGGGGAAAAGTTCTGGTTGTTTGCCCACTTCTGGACTTTGATCTTGTGTCTTGGTCTTCTGGAAGTGTGGTCAGAACTTTAGTTTTGTGTACACATCCATGTTACAGATCTGGCTTATATGTATGCAGACTGATGGTTCCTTGCCTCTCAGGCAGATGCACTCTGTAGGAAACTGTAGATTAATCACCTTGTACAATATCCTAAATTAGTAACCACGGAAATGAGATGTCTGAGAAGGGCTGTAGGAGTGACCATAAGAGATAAGATCAGAAATGAGATCATAAGAGAACAAGTCGGCACAGAACCAATTCTGGATTACATACAAAGACAGCAAGTGAAATGGTTTGCCCACTTAGAGAGAATGCCTTGTGACACCATACCATACAAAGCATACATGGGAAGAGAAGAAGGACGTAGAGCACGGGTAGACCAAGAATAAGATGGAAGGATAACATCAGAGAAACTCTACAACAGCACGATGTGCCTATGGTCGAGGCAGCCAGAAGAGCTAGAAAGAGAACCTTATATCTCCCTCGACACCCACAGCGGTAAAAGAAGAAGTGAAGAAGAAGAAGAAGAAGAAGAAGAAGTACAATATCCTTACTGGGGAGGCAATGGGTCTATTCTTATTTTCTCCAAACCAGGCACTGGAACCCACACAGAGACTGGGGTAGAACACATCCTCTTCCTCTGTGTTCGCCCTTAAAAGGGCCAATGCCATGCTGTATTGTGGTTTACAGCAAGGCTGCGATATCTGTGCCTTTCAGCCCAATGCATCCTACTTCATCTGATTAGTTGCCTTTCATCACAAGTTTGTTAAGGATGATGTGTGTCTATTCTTGTTTCCTCTAAAAAGGGTCCTGGAACCCACACCAGGAGGGCTGGAAGAGGCTGCAATCCAGTGCTCTATGGGTGGCATTGTTTACTGTCATCCAGTGCGGATGGCCAATGTTTTTAATCTTTTATCTCTCCGTGGGTCCCCTCTTCATTTCACATCAGAACATTTAAGGTGTAGCGCCTGTATTGACATTTGTGGCTGCATTCCAACAAGATAACCAAACCACCTGATCTTTTTTGCCTGTTAATAAATCTGGCAAAATGTGCTCTTCCCATAAATCTGTCTTTTAGAATTGTTTCTCGCTGTCTCAGGTGATTAATTTGGTGGCATTTTTCAGGCATCTCCTCTCAGGTGTTAATTTAAACTTCTTTTTCACGTTCACCAGCTGTAAACTCTGGCAGAAAGTTCTTGTTCTTCATCCACTTCTGGACTGTAGTCCTATTCCAGAAACTAAGTGTTGTGTGTGCATCCATTTATACAGATCTGACTCATTTATGTGCAGACTGCTGGTTCCTTGCCACTCAGGCAGATGCACTTCGACTTTGAAAGAAGCTCCCACTTAGTAGACAAGCTTATGGATAGGCAGTGGGTCTATTCTTGTTTTCCCTATAACAGGGCCCCGGAACCCACACAGGAATTGATTTAAACATAAGTACGCCTTTGATATTAAAAAGTTTTTCATTACCAGCACATCTTAGTGCTGGTAAGAATATATATTTATAATCATTCTACTGCAGTGGTACATATTCTGGAATAACAAAATTAGGAAAAGGACTAAATGCAGTATCTATGAGTGCAGTGGCATTTCATACACTCCCCCCATTTTTTCTTTAAAATATATAGTTCCACCATATCAGTAATATTGCAGAAGGTTAGCAGGAATCTAGAAACATTGGTGGCAAAAAAAGAAACACCAAGGCACCACCTATCACCCACAAGGACAAATCAAAGAAAAATATTATTTAAAAAAAAAAAAAAACGCCACCTTGTTGTTTAGCACCTTGACCAGTATGAGCCCTAGTCCTGGTGTGTGGTTTAGCCCCCCCCCCCCTTTTCCCCGCATCCTAAAAGGAATGACATTTTAAAAAATCAAAGTGGCCTGATTTTTTTTACAATTCTCTGACCAAATGTAGAATGTTCGAGAGCTCGTTACATGAGGGCTGGGATTCATAAGGCCATCACGCATTCTGTGTTATTTAGGACTAAAAGAGTAAATATCTTCAGCTATTCAAACTCGCTTCTTACGTCTGTAGTAGTACTGGTCCACTGTGATCAGCCAGCCTACATCATCGTGCGTGTGAGGTACTAGATGCACATTGATCATGCCAGGTTTTTCTGCATTACATGACTGAAATATAATTAATGTAAACAAATATTAACATAATCACATTATTATTTGATTCACATGATTCACAGATGGAACAATATTTCATCTGTAACTCATTCACTCCCAGTCAATTCAGCATTTCTAAACAATATTTCCCAATTTTTTGTTTAAGTGAATAGCATGTTCTTTATATGCTTTTGCAGAACCCCAGTTTTTTGTTTGTTTGGCTTTTGTGACAAATATTCTCCAAGTAACTATTAAAATGGCGTCTATGGCTTAAGCATTGCGAACACACTTCACAATGCCAGGTTGTGGGGTTCGATACCAGCTTTGGATGATCTGTTTTGTGTTCGGTAGTGGTTTCGAGAGCTGACCGTTCAGTAAAATGGCAAACCAATGAACATAAAATTTGCCTAGAAAAACCACAACAGCCAAAAAATTCCTGGGTGGGTTCTGCAATGTACTATAAACTCAACAGGAAAGAACAAACATCAATTTTTAGACTTCAGACTGGACACTGTGGTCTTCGAGCACACCTGTACAGGATAGGCATAAAAGAATCTGCTGCCTGTGATTGTGGTGCAGAAAGACAGACCCCTGAGCACATACTGCAGTACTGCCTTTACCTCTACCAGCAAAGACTGTGGATCTGGCCCAGGGGATACACATTGCGAGAGAAGCTATGGGGGACCGGTGGCGACCTTAAACGCACAATCCTATTTTTGACCCAGACGGGACTCAATGTGTAGCATGACTGATGTCGAACGCAGAAGAAGAAGAAAGAATAAGGTTAGGGTTACGGTTTGATTCGGACTGAACTCCGGCGTACTCCCCCAATATGTGGCCGTAGTTGCAAGGAGAACCAAAAAATAATAGTATTACTACCTGGTTACCGGAAAAGCTTACCTAACCCAGTCAACAAATGCCCACAGAAGTCGGATGTGTTGGTCGAAAGAAAGGCGCATATATTATATATCACAGTGTAAACTAAACGCACACAACGCAATTTCAATTACTATTACTCATAACATTATAATTATATGCATAAATAACAATGAAACCTGCCTGGTATCCGCAAATCGGCTGCTGCTTTTTTGCGTTGATGACACTGCCGGCAGCCGAAACAAGCAGCAAACAAACCGCAGACCCACACAGATACATGGAGCTCTGACTGGTAAACACGTACAGATCAGGTTTAAAGTTTAGAAATGCCTCTTTGACTTTAGCTAGTACAACAAAAATAGGGTGGTAAAAAAACAGCCGCTGAGAGCTTACTAATAAAGGATAAACATCCTCGCGGGTTGATCATGTGACACAGGGTCACGTGATTCTGTTATCTCGTCCCTGAAGGTATTCGCTGATAACTATATAATTATGAGATACCAAGATCTGCGTAATTCTGTGTCCATACCATAATCATTATCATCGTGGGGGTGGGGGGCGTAATCTGGGGGCTTAAGTCCACTGAGCCCCACACAGAAGAAGTTTTAGAACTTAGTCCTAACCCTACCCCCGCTCCCCAAATTAAAATGGGGCTAAGTTTCCTCTACCCGCCTAACAATTTATAAATGCTTTCAAGTGTTTGTTTGTTTATGTATTCAACATTGCAGGAATAAATCATCTATTTCAAGCGAACGAAAAAAAAAAAAGAAGAAGATATCTGTATCATTTCAAACCGAATATTATGTCTTTTTGACATACAGGGCATTATTATTATTATTATTATTATTATTATTATTAATATAGTAGTAGCAGCAGTAGCGGTAGTAGTATTCACGGTAGTAGTAGTGGTAGTAGTAGTATTAGCAGTAGTAGTAGTGGTGGTAGTAGTAGTGGTGGTAGTAGTAGTAGTAGTAGTAGTAGTAGTAGTAGTAGTAGTAGTAGTAGTAGTAGTAGTAGTAGTAGTAGTAGTAGTAGTAGTAGTAGTAGTAGTAGTAGTAGTAGTAGTAGTAGTAGTAGTAGTAGTAGTAGTAGTAGTAGTAGTAGTAGTAGTGTTGGTGGTAATAGTAGTGTTGGTGGTAGTAGTAGTAGTAGTAGTATAGTAGTGGTATTAGTAGTAGATGTAGTAGTAGTAGTAGTAATAGTAGTTTTGGTGGTAATAGTAGTGTTGGTGGTGGTAATAGTAGTAGTAGTAGTAGTAGTAGTAGTAGTAGTAGTAGTAGTAGTAGTAGTAGTAGTAGTAGTAGTAGTAGTAGTAGTAGTAGTAGTAGTGGTAGTAGTAGTAGTAGTAGTAGTAGTAGTAGTAGTAGTAGTAGTAGTAGTAGTAGTAGTAGTAGTAGTAGTAGTAGTAGTAGTAGTAGTAGTAGTAGTAGTAGTAGTAGTAGTAGTAGTAGTAGTAGTTGTTGTTGTTGTTGTTGTTGTTGTTGTTGTTATTTCAGTAGTAAAAACCAGACGTACGCACTTTTTTCTTGTTAAAACGTTTTCCTAAACGTTTTTTCGCCCGGCTCTAAACCTGACTTTCGCGGCGCCTGGTTGACGAACTCCTTGTGGTCCGGGTTCACTCCCGGGGGTAGGCAGAAAAGCCACATTTCTCCCAGATTAACGGTACCTATAATGGAATCAATGCTGAAGGGTTGCGATATCCATAGTACCGAGCCAAAGGGTTTACAACTCATGGTTTCTGGATACGTTAAAAAAAAAAAAAAACGTTTTTTCAGTAATTTTTTTTTCTGGCTCTCATTTTAAATAAACTGTCTCCGTCTAGGAGGCAAAGTCAATGGATAAACACTTATCATCTCATCTGAACTAATTTTCCCTATGTGGGTTCTGAAATTACAGGTCTCCTTCGAAATCGGAGTGCATCTGCCTGATTTGCGAGGAACCAACATTCTGCATAAGATGAGCGAGATCTATAAAACGGGTGTGCACACAAAAATCTAATTCTGCAACAAGGCCAAAGTCCAGAAATGGACGAATAAGCAGAACTTTCCGCCGGAGTTTACAGTCAGTGAACAGACAGAAGAAGACCCCGTTTAACCCCCTAGGAAGTTACAATTAGAGCACCTATAATGAACCTGGTGTAGTTGCAGTTCCGTGCTGGTAAGGGTCGCTTTTGATGTCATAAACATAAATAAGGTCACCTCGTGTTTTATAGGGTTTGTTTTCCAGCTTTTACTTTACTTTATATCTATTACGCCTTGTGATGTCCTGAAAATAGGTCCTTTTAAACATACACTATAAAATTCTCGTGTGTTCTGAACGACCGCCTATTACCCTATCTGATATCAGCTACTTTGGGAAGCTATCAGCACGGTATCTGACAACTTGCAAATCACCATAATTAGTAAACCCTGAGCGAACTTTTAGGTCCGTCCTTGACCGTTTTTCTAAGTTAAATAGATTAAGAACAAAACTGGAAATTAGCAGTTATATGATCTTACTGGGTCCTTTTACTTTCATCTCTTGACTCACGCTGTGAAAATCTCAACAGGTTTGTAGCTGATAACATAAAACAAACAGTGATTCTCATTTGGCGGTACGCAGATACATGCAAGGCGTCCACGATATCGTTTATATGGCTGTCAATCCTGAACACTTTAATTACCAACCCAAACAATTTCTTGAGGTCTCGGAGATGCGGTTTTACAGAAAAATCCCCTTAAATATTGGCTAATCCGCCAGGTATACCTGTGTACTGGCACCTGAGACAACAGATCACATCCTGCAAGACTGTCCAAAATACAACGTTTCCAGACAAAACTCTTGGCCTAGAGAGACACTGGTGAAGGCCAAACTTTACGGGCAGTGAAGTTCATACTAGAGACAGCATTGCAGATATAGATAATTTATGTCAAGGGAACGAAGGAAGAAGAAGAACAAATGAATCCCTAGGGAAGCTTCTTCTTCTTCTTCTTCTTCTTCTTCTTCTTCTTCTTCTTCTTCTTCTTCTTCTTCTTCTTCTTCTTCTTCTTCTTCTTCTTCTTCTTCTTCTTCTTCTTCTTCTTCTTCTTCTTCTTCTTCTTCTTCTTCTTCTTCTTCTTCTTCTTCTTCTTCTTCTTCTTCTTCTTCTTCTTCTTCTTCTTCTTCTTCTTCTTCTTCTTCTTCTTCTTCTTCTTCTTCTTGTATTCTTCTTCTGGTGGTTCTTCTTCTTCTTCTTCTTCTTCTTCTTCTTCTTCTTCTTCTTCTTTCTTGTTCTTCTTCTTCTTCTTCTTCTTCTTTGGCTCTTGTTCTTCTTCTTCTTCTTCTTCTTCTTGTTCTTCTTCTTTTTCTCTTCTTCTTTTGTGTCTTCTTCTTCTTGATCTTCTTTGCTTCTTCTTCTTCAGATTCTTCTTCTTCTTCTTCTTCTTCGAGGAATCTTCTTCTTCTTCTTCTTCTTCTTCTTCTTACTTCTTCTTCTTCTTCTTCTTCTTCTTCGGTCTATTCTTCTTCTTCTTCTTCTTCTTCTCCCCAGAACCCAAACAGTGATTTGGAGAAGCAATTCAGATGTTTTCTTCTTCTTCTTCTTCTCTCTTCTTCTTCTTCTTTTCTTCTTCTTCTGAAGAGACTTCTTCTTCTTCTTCTTCTTCTTCTTCTTCTTGTCTTCTTCTTCTTCTTCTTCTTGTCTTCTTCTTCTTCTTCTTCTTCTTCTTCTTCTTCTTCTTCTTCTTGTCTTCTTCTTCTTCTTCTTCTTCTTCTTCTTCTTCTTCTTCTTCTTCTTCTTCTTCTTCTTCTTTTCTTCTTTCTTCTTCTTCTTCTTCTTTCTTCTTCTCTTCTTCTTCTTCTTCTTCTGGATCCTTCTTCTTCTTCTTCTTCTTCTTTCTTCTTCTTCTTCTTTCTTCTTCTTCTTCTTCTTCTTCTTCTTCTTCTTCTTCTTCTTCTTCTTCTTCTTCTTCTTCTTCTTCTTCTTCTTCTTTCTTCTTCTTCTTCTTCTTCTTCTTCTTCTTCTTCTTCTTCTTCTTCTTCTTCTTCTTCTTCTTCTTCTTCTTCTTCTTCTTCTTCTTCTTCTTCTTCTTCTTCTTCTTCTTCTTCTTCTTCTGTATTCACTGGTGGTAAGTTCCGGAGGAGAGTCCTGACTGTTCGTCAGTTTGGACTTTGGCTTTGTG